TAAACCAAAAACACAAAGTTTTTTTTCTCATTACACAGTGTGTGCTGCAGGATTTTTTTTATACTGTGCACACTGACCACAGAGACCATTCTTTCATATGTAGCCCTACCAGCTTTCTCTTGCTAGATTTGAAGGCACTAGAATTTACAAGTACAGTGGACCCCCGCATAACGATCACCTCCGAATGCGACCAATTATGTAAGTGTATTTATGTAAGTGCGTTTGTATGTGTATGTTTGGGGGTCTGAAATGGACTAATCTACTTCACAATATTCCTTATGGGAACAAATTCGGTCAGTACTGGCATCTCAACATACTTCTGGAGTGAAAAAGTATCATTAACCGGGGGTCCACTGTACAGTGGACCCCCACCTTACGATATTAATCCGTTCCTGAGAGCTCATCGTAAGCCGAAATTATCGTTAGCCAAATTAATTTTCCCCATAAGAAATAATGGAAATCAAATTAATCCGTTCCTGACACCCCAAAGTATGAAAAGAAAAATTTTGTACCACATGAAATATTAATTTTAATACACACAAACTGAAGAAGACATGCACAATTACTACTCTACTAAGAATAGAATACAAGACACTTCCCTTTGTTGAATTCTGGTGATGATTGATGGGATGGGAGGAGGGGAGAGTGTGGAAGTTATTGTTTAGAAGGGGAATCTCCTTCCATTAGGACTTGAGGTAGCAAGTCCTTTTCTGGGGTTACTTCTCTTCTTTTAATGCCACTAGGACCAGCTTGAGAATCACTGGATCTCTGTCGCACAACAAATCTGTCCATAGAGCTCTGTACCTCCCGTTCCTTTAAGACTTTCCTAAAATGGGCCATAACATTGTCATTGTACAGGTTGCCAACATGGCTTGCAGTAGCTGTGTCAGGGTGATTTTCATCCATAAAGGTTTGTAGTTCAACCCACTTTGCACACATTTCCTTAATCTTTGAAGTAGGCAACTTCTTCAATTTCTCTCTCCCCTCCTCCGAAGCAGTTTCCTCAGGTCTGGCCTCTTGCTGTTGAAGATGATCTTGCAGCTCATCAGTGGTTAGTTCTTCATTGTCCTCCTCCACCAACTCTTCCACCACATCCCCACTAACCTCCAATCCCAAGGACTTCCCCAATGCCACAATGGATTCCACAACTGGCATACGCTTCTCAAGGTTAGCCCCAAACCCTTCAAAATCTCTTTCTTCTACACCTTGTGACCACAGTTTCTTCCAAGCAGAGTTCAAGGTCCTCTTAGTCACTCCCTCCCAAGCTTACCTATAAGGTTTACACTGAGGATACTAAAGTGATCTTTCCAAAACTCTCTTAGAGTCAATCGAGTGTCTGAGGTCACTTCAAAGCACTTTTGAAATATAGCTTTTGTGTACAGTTTTTTGAAGTTTGAAATGACCTGCTGGTCCATGGGCTGCAGGAGAGGAGTGGTATTAGGAGGCAAAAACTTGACCTTAATGAAGCTCATGTCCCCAGAAAGTCGCTCTGCCAAGTCTGAAGGAGCGTTGTCTAATACCAGGAGGCACTTAACGTCCAGTTTCTTTTCCATTAGGTAATTTTTCACAGTGGGGACAAATGCATGGTGTAACCAGTCATAGAAAAGCCCCTAGTGACCCATGCCTTACTGTTTGCCCTCCACAGCACACACAAATTAGCCTTGAGGACATTGTTTTGCCTGAACGCTCTGGGAGTTTCAGAGTGATACACCAATAAAAGCTTCACTTTGCAATCACCACTAGCATTGGCACACATCAAAAGAGTAAGCCTGTCTTTCATAGGCTTATGTCCTGGGAGTGCCTTTTCCTCCTGAGTAATGTAAATCCTGATTGGCATTTTCTTCCAAAACAGGCCTGTTTCGTCACAAACACTTGTTCAGGTTTCAGTTCTTCACTGTCTATGTACTCCTTGAATTCCTTCACATATTTTTCAGCTTCTTTTTGGTCCAAACTGGCAGCCTCACCATGCCTTATCACACTTTGTATGCCACTACAATTCTTAAATCTCTCAAACCAACCTTTGCTGGCCTTAAATTCACTCACATCACCACTAGTTGCAGGCATTTTTCTAATTAAATCCTCATGCAACTTCCTAGCCTTTTCACATATGATCGCTTGTGAGATGCCATCTCCTGCTATCTGTTTTTCTTTTATCCATACCAATAACAGTCTCTCAGCAACTATCACTTGCAATCTCTGTTTCAAAAACAAACTTGCACCTTTTGCAAGAACAGCTTCCTTGATTTCCGTTTTGTTGGCCAAGATAGTAGCGATGGTTGTGTAAGTTTATTTAGGTACAGATACACGTAAGTATAATTATCAGAGTACAATATATATAAAATTCACAATTACTTTAAAACACTTGAAATTTTGGAAAATTTCCAGACATAATGGAGAGACACAGAGCTCACGAGGATGTAAACAAACTGAGTGATCTGCAGATGCACTAATATCAAATCAGAGCCTATATATAAACAAATTTTTGGTCATAATTTAAAATGTTTGTATTAGCGAAGCGCCGTAAAGCAGGGCCCTACTGTAACTTGGTTTGTTTGGTCTCATAGTGCTGGCATGCATTGTACTCCTTCAAAACTGCAACAGTTTTGTGACATATGACACACAAGGCTTTGTCACCTGCTTGTACAAAGAAGTACTTTACTCTTCATTCTTTATTAACCCTTTCAGGGTCCGTCCCGTAGATCTACGGCTTTACGGTGAGTGTCCAAACCGTAGATCTACGCCATGAGCTCAGCTCACTCTGATAAACTGTGAGTGGTACATTTGGGCCTAGATATGAGAGAATACATCTATGTGGTATGTGTGCACCACATAAAACAGATCCTGCAGCACACTGTGTATAATGAGAGAAAAAAACTGAAATCATGATTTTTCGATTAAAACAGCGACTTTGCAGTGTTTTTTCGTATGTTTTTTATAGTTGTATTTGCGATTTCTTGGTCTCATTTGATAGAATGGAAGACATATTACAGAAATAGAGATGATTTTGATTGGTTTTAGCACAGGAAATGGCTTGAAATTGAGCTCAAAGTAGCGGAAATGTTAAATTTTTGCCGATATTCAAGAGTAAACAAACGACCTCACACATCTAATACACGTCAGCTGGTGGGTCTAATATACATTCACAAATATGGTGATGATATTTATACAATTATTACAGTATTGCATAACAGTAAATCTTCTATTTTTTGGTGTGAATAAAAATTCATTATGTGAATAAAAAATCAAAATGGAATTTATTTGTAAAGCCTCAAAATGTAACTAATGAACAGAGGAAATGTTAGTTTAGTTCCAGGAATACCTACATTGTTTATTCTGGAGCCTATTTTGAAATTGGAATATTTTGAACTTTGTGTTAAATTGGCCAAATTAACAATTTCCGATCACTTTATTTTGTAGTTGAAACAGTTGACTTGGCGATTTCTTGTGCTCAATCGATAGAATAGAAGTAATACTAGTGAAATAGCTAAGAATTTGGTTGATTGGAATAATGTAATTGGCCTAAAATGGGAGTCAAAGTCGGCAAAATCGCCGATTCGTAAATATCGCTGACACATCAAAATTCGCGAGAGCATAATTTCGTCAATTTTCCAACAAATTTCGTACTTTTTGTTTTATTACCTTCACAAAAAGATTCTCTACGATTTCATAAGAAAAAATAACAAATTTTTTTTTGAAAATTCTTGGACACTGGGGCACCACTTCAGATTTGGGCCTTGGACCCTGAAAGGGTTAAACAGGCGGCCCTCTGCACTCTTGTTTTCCTTTTTCCTTCCCTTACTGAAGAGTATATCTGAAAAATGAAAAGATTAGAACAAAGTTTTGAGCAAATTTTGACATAAATTGTTACAAGCAACAGAATTCTTAACTTGAAGTGACTGAAAATGAGTGTTTATTAGTTTTGCTATTTCAAGTTGCTGTAAGCCGCATAAAATCACGTGGCAGGGTGCAGTTTGGAGACCCCTGTACTAAACTAGGCTTAATAAGATTCATCCAATTTAATATATTTATGTACACTAGAGAGGTTAGCATAAGCCCCACTGTAACCACAATTGCAAGTTTTTATGGCCTAATAGTTTTAGGATTGCTAGTTTGCTGTAGATTCTAATGATTCCAGTTCTCTAATTTGTTTCCAGTAATGTTATTATGATTTTTGCAATTTATTGACAGTGGTTTTGAAGGGGCTTGAACTAAATTTTGTCATTGCTGTGTGTGTGTCTATCTGATATTCATAAGAATTTGCATTTGTGATCACAATGGTGCCCATGGTAGCTATCTCCTGTACATATACCTAGGTTGGATAAATCATATTCAGCCTGCACAGTCTAATGGTAAGAGCACTGGCCCACTAGTTTTAAGACTGGTTTACTATGGATTCAAAACTAGTCTAATCCTTGTTGTTTACAATTGTGCTATACAATATGTGCAAGGCAGTTCTATCAAGTATGTTTGTGTTGTTCTGATAATTATAGAGATTTCTTTTTAAGTTAGACCCATGCACTTGTGATGTTTTTTTTCTAGGAACTGGCTGTATCCCACCAAGGCAGAGTGACCTAAAATGAAAAACGAAAGTTTCTCTTTTTATGTTTAGTAATGTACATATACAGGAGAAGGGGGGTTGTACTTGTGATTATAGCTAAATAATTCTACAGTAAACTGATGAGAGGATTTTAACTCCTGAATTATTATAATTATTTTAATTTTTAATTTGCTATTTCTTCTCTTGAGCCAGGTATTATCCATTTTATGCTTTTATGTTGGGCTTCGCTCTCTGTGCTAAGTATCACGTAGTATGCACAGTACTTATTTTCCCCTGAAGTAGCTTAATCTAGTCCTGTTTGTTGTAACTACATGGGCCTTTATGATGTTCCACCAAACAGCATTCACTTTTGTTCTCTGATCAATATCTTATAAAGTAATATGGTGCAGTCTTGGAATCCTTCGAACCATTGTTATGCAGCTGTGTGTGGTTGTCATTGCAGAAATTAAACCTGTTCTGCGCAAAGAAACAATCACCTGTACAGATCCAGGTGGGTAATGTCAGCATGAGCATGTTTTTCCTGTTGAAGCATGTTTAACATGACTGGCACATAAATTAATGGTATGCATGGCTTTTCCTAATCATTTTCTTTCCTTAATTCTTCATATAATAGCTGTGTTGCACAAAAATGTTGGGACTTAAAGTTTATTGTACAGTATATGTATGTGTGAGTGTGAGACTTGAGTTGTAATTTTCATTTTATGTATATTATGACTTAACCAAAATATTATTATTATTATTATTATTATTTGCAGGAGTTAATTTTTATTTTTTATTTATTTTTTATTTTTTTTTGCATGCAATAAAGGATTTTGGTGGTTATATGGTATATTATGCACATGATTTTTTAATGGAAACACTTCATGTAGATTTTGCTGTAGATGTGACTTGTAAAATGCTGTATTTTAGTATAATATGTAAGGTAGTGATTGAAATGACCATACAGAATTCATCTAGAGCCCTTATATAGTCATGGTTAGGTTCATGAGTTGGCCAAAAGGGGTGTATAAATCTGGGGTGGATGAAAGGTGGTTTAAGAGATGTTTGAAGAAGAGGTGGAAAGAGGTTGTAATGAAGGTTTTGGAAGGCAGGGGCTTGACACATGTATTTAGAGTGAAGAGACAGCAAGTGGTTTTATTGGATTTGATATGCACTTGGAGTGTGAGCGTGGTAATATCTGAAGGGATTCAGGGAAACCGGTTAGCCAGGCTCAGGTTCTGGAGGGGTACAGTGCCTGCACTTTGAAAGATGAATGAGAATGTTGGGGTTCAGTGGATCATTAAGATCATGATGTCTCAGCCCTTCTGGAAAAACAGCCATGTTGTAAGTGTTAATGAATGTATTGTTCTTTGGATCATCTTGCCTAAATGGGAAACATCATTTGCTAAAAAAAAATCCATTATGGTTAAATATAAACCTTAACTGTATCAGTGCATGATTTTCATCAGTGTAATTTAGTATTCTAAAGTGATCTCATTTGGACCCGTTGATCTGTTATAATCCCCAACTGTCAAAGCATAACTTCAACATAACTTATAAACAACAGAGTGATATCTCTTCTGGCTCCACTGTTTTCATAGCTTCAGCTATGTTAAAATAATGATAACTTTACAAAAAAAAAGAGGCAACATCTCATACAAATTTACAAAAAAAAGAGGTGACACCTCACATAACTTTACAAAAAAAGGTGACACCTCATACAACTTTACAAAAAAAAAAAAGAAGTGACACCTTATATAACTTCACAAAAAAAGAGGGTGACACCTCATATAACTACAAAAAAAGAGGGTGACACCTTATATAACTACAAAAAAAGAGGGTGACACCTCATATAACTACAATAAAAGAGGATGTCACCTCATATAACTACAAAAAAAGAGGGTGACACCTCATATAACTACAAAAAAAGAGGGTGTCACCTCATATAACTACAATAAAAGAGGGTGTCACCTCATATAACTACAATAAAAGAGGGTGTCACCTCATATAACTACAATAAAAGAGGGTGTCACCTCATATAACTACAATAAAAGAGGGTGACACCTCATATAACTACAATAAAGGAGGGTGTCACCTCATATAACTACAATAAAAGAGGGTGTCACCTCATATAACTACAATAAAAGAGGGTGTCACCTCATATAACTACAATAAAGGAGGGTGACACCTCATATAACTACAATAAAAGAGAGTGACACCTCATATAACTACAATAAAAGAGGGTGACACCTCATATAACTACAATAAAAGAGGGTGACATTGCATCTGCCTCTACTTTTTTCTTTTTTTTTCTTTGTATCTGATTATTTCTATTACTTTCATCTCATTTGGCTGTGATATAAGTTCATTTCATTTAAAAAAATTCACTTAATTCAGTATCTCCCACTTTTTTTCCTGTGATTCAAAGATTTTATTAATGAACATGATTCTTTGTGTTTTGTTTTTCACATGTAATTTTCCTTTTATAAATATATCTCAGCAAAGATTAAAGATTTGCACTTGATGTGACATTCCTGAGCATTGTTTGATATTGAGGTATTGTTTGTTGAACACTGATTGGTATTTAACCCTTTCACTGTCGGTCTCGTAATATTAAGGCTTGCAAGCCAGTGTCGGTCCCATAATAGTATGCCAAAATTCTAGCAGCTTCCAGTCATGCGGGAGAAAGCTGGTAGGCCTACATAGGAGAGAATGGGTCTGAGTGGTCATTGTGTGCAGAATAAAAAAAAATCATGCAGCATGCAGTGCATAGTGAGAAAAATAAAATTCCGACTGTCTTTTTCATTTAAAACAGCGACTTTGCTGTGTATTTTGGTATGGTAATTATGGTTGTATTCTCGTTTTCTTGGTCCCATTTGATAGAATGGAAAATATATTACAGTATTAGAGATGATTTTGAATGGTTTACAGACTAAAAGTACCTTGAAATTGAGCTCAAATTAGGGGAAATGTTAGATTTTTGCTTCTGTTCAAGAGTAAACAAATCACATCACACATCCAATACACATCAACTGGTGGGTCTAATGTGTTTTCACATATGCGCTGATTTTATTTATACCATGTTTACAATAATGCAGTAGTCTGCGTAACAGTAAACATTCTATTTTTTGTGTGAATAAAAATTCAAAATGGAAAGCAAACATAATATAAGAGGGGCCTGGAGACATGACTAATGAATAGAGAAAATTTTATTTTAGTGCTAGGAATGTTTGTGGTGTTAATTCTGGACCCTATTTTGAAATTTGCCTTCCCTGAATTGAGTATGAAATTGGCCAAATTAGCAATTTCTGATCACTTTATTGGGTAGTTGAGATCGGTAAATGGGCAGTTTCTTGTACTCAGTCAATAGAACAAAAGAAGTTCTAGCATAATAGCCATGAGTTTGGTTGACTGGAACAATGGAATTAGCTGAAAATAGTTCTTAAATTGGGCAAGATCACCGATAAGTTTTTTTTTTTTTTTAATTTTCAAGAATGAGAGCAAGTTTGTGAGCAAGGGTTGCAACAGTGAAAGGGTTAATGTGGCATCTGTTGAACATTGGAGATGTAATGGCATTTGTTGAACAGTCGTTAATCTTTAGTATTCATTGAGCAACGATTGGCTTTTAGTTTGGTATTTGTTAAATATTGATTGGTACTTAGTTTGGCATTTGTTGAATATTAATTGGTCTTTAGTATTTGTTGAATACTGATTGGTATGTAGTGTAGCATTTGTTGAATATTGATTGATGATTAGTGTATTATTTGTTGAACTTTGATTATGCTTAGTGTCATTTGCTGAACATGGATTGGTTCTCAATGTTGCATATGTTAAGCACTAACAGAAACGACTTTTATTGTGATCAGTAATAATTAATTGACATTCATCAGTTTTGTGCAAGACCAGAGAGAAAGCAATCATAGCCAGTGCTTATACAGTTCCCACCCTGTTACCAGTAGCAGGGGCATATGAAAACAAAATTTCTAAGTGCATGCATGAATAGGAGTCAAATACTCTTTCTTTGCCAAGGAAATAAGTAGATCATGTTATCTTTCACACTTCATTATATTGCATTTTTCTCATGGCTAAATACTATATTTTTTTTTTTTCAACACGTCGGCTGTCTCCCACATAAGCAGGGTGACCCAAAAAGAAAGAAAATCCCCAAAACGAAAATACTTTCATCATCATTCAACACTTTCACCTCACTCATAGATAATCACTGCTTTTGCAGAGGCGCCCAGATACAGCAGTTTAGAAGTACATATGAAGATACAATATAAAAAGTGACCTGAAATAATATAATAAGCTCCATATAGAATATAATATCAGGGCCCCAATTATATATATACCATCCTATTACACATCCCTCCAAACTGCCAATATCCCAAGCCCCTCCTTTAAAGTGCAGGCATTGTACGTACTTCTCATTTCCAGAACTCAAGTCCAGCTATATAAAAATAACCAGTTTCCCTGAATCCCTTCACTAAATATTACCCTGCTCACACTCCAACAGCTCGTCAGGTCCCAAAAACTATTCATCTCCATTCACTCGTACCTAACACGCTCACACATGCTGGAAGTCCAAGCCCCTCACCCAGAAAACCTCCTTTACCCCCTCCCTCCAACCTTTTCAAGGACGACCTCTACCCCGCCTTCCTTGCCCTACAGATTTGTACGCTCTGCATGTCATTCTTCTTTGATCCATTCTCTCTAAATGACCAAACTACCTCAACAACCCCTCTTCAGCCCTCTGACTAATACTTTTATTAACTCCACACCTTCTCCTAATTTCCCCACTTCGAATTCTCTGCATAATATTTACACTACACATTGCCCTTAAACAGGACATCTCCACTGCCTCCAACTGCCTCCTCGCTGCAGTATTTACAACCCAAGCTTTGCACCCATATAAGAGTGTTGGTACCACTGTACTTTCATTCATTCCCTTCTTTGCTTCCATTGATAACGTTTTTTGTCTCCACATATATCTCAACAGACCACTCACCATTTTTCCCTTATCAATTCTATGGTTAACCTCATCCTTCATAAACACATCCACTGACACATCGACTCCCAAATATCTGAAAACATTCACTTCTTCCATACTCCTCTCCAATGTGATATCCAATTTTTCTTTATCTAAATCATTTGATACCCTCATCACCTTACTCTTATCTATGTTCACATTCAACTTTCTACCTTTACACACCCTCTCAAACTCGTCCACTAACCTTTGCAACTGGTTTTTAGAATCACCCATAAGCACAGTATCATCAGCAAAAAGTAACTATGTCAACTCCCATTTTGCAATTGATTCCCCATAATTTAATCCCACCCCTCTCCCCAACACCCTAGCATTTACTTATTTTACAACCCCATATGTAAATATATTAAACAACCATGGTGACATTACACATCCCTGTCTAAGACCTACTTTTACTGGGAAGTAGTCTCCTTCTCTTCTACACACCCTAACCTGAGCCTCACTATCCTCATAAAAAAACTTTT